TGCTAGAAATTCTTAAGGTGATAAACAATTGAGTTAGTTGGAGACTATTTAACTAAAGGATAAAATAAATTACCGAGCGTCCAGTTTGTGAAAATCTTGACTTATTTTGTGCACACGGCTTAAAGAACTCATTTAGACCACACGTTGTTTTACTGCCCACTTATATTAAACAAATGTAAAAATAGATGAATGTCGATTTAGTCATCTATATGAAAAAATGGCAGATTTTAAGTTTGTAACTCTTATTTATATCAATTTAACTTTACACAATTGTAATTGTTTTATTCTGAGACCTTACATTCAATAAGTATCCGTGCAAACCTTTTCTAGTTGGTGAAAAATTACAGTATAAGCGCACGCTTTTACTACAGATGTTCAGGTTATGTCTACAAGTGCTTTTTTTTGATACATTAACCTTAAAACCTCAACCTGGCCTGGACTTTAGCAGCTGCGTCCAGGTTTTGGAATAAATCCCTTAAAAAAAACTTTTTTTTTCATTTATTACATTCAACACTGATCACCTGATGTCTTTATAAATCAACTATTTTATCTTTTTATATCAACTCTTACTTTTTTCCCCCTCATCATAGCAGGCATCTTTTTGTTTTATCTGGACTTTAAATTGTTTAATTTCTCTTTAAACTTTTTATGATGCCTTTTATTATTTACCATAATCTAATTATAATATTTAAAATAAATGAAGTTAAACTAAGATGCAATAAAGACTTCCTTCTTTCGTGTCTTTCATGTGTTCTTGGAGAAAGTTTGTTCAATTTCAGAGTCAAACTATGAAAAATAAACTTTTAATTGATTCAACTTCTACCGTATTTTTCATACTATAAAGCACACCTGATTATAAGACTCACTGTTGATGTTTGAGAAAATTAAAGAATTTTAAGTGTGCCTTAATATTCCAAAAACATGGTTTATAGTATCTCTCAAAAATGTTTTAAGGTAATTTTTGAATATTTGCATATTAGTTAAGTAGTTGGGAGTTGCACTAAATAAAATCACACAAGAAAAATGACATCCACCCAGGCGACTTGTTTATTTAGCCTTTATTAAATAATAATAATAATAACATTAAAAAAAGAAAATTTTCTGTACAAAGTCTACAAACAACAGTTTGAGATTTCTGGCCAGTGCTGTAAATGTGTCACTGTGTTTGTGTCAGTCAGTTGTGCATATTGGTGTGTGTGTGTGAGTGTGTGTGTGTGTGTGTGTGTGTATGGAGACAGAAGAGGTAATCCTATCCAGGTTTTTCAGAGAGAACTAAAAAGCTAAGTGAGACCAAACAAGCGCTCACAGCTCATCGCTTAATATTTTGGTTGCATGTTTGCGTGTAAGAGCGCCAGAGCGAGACATCAGAGAGAAAGATTTAAAGAAATTAAATAAATTGAAATGAGAAAGCTCCAAGGCACTTAAGAGAACTGTCCAAAGAAAACACCACTTAATGAACAGCAATTTATCTCTCTCCTCTCATTGTTCACTTATTCTCTTGTTTTTTGGCGATCATTTAACACCCTTTTAATAATCCTTTTAAATTTATTTTTGTCAATATCTCTCACGACTACCTGAATGCATGTCTTTAACTGTTAGGAGATGAGAGAGGAGTCAAAAATAAATAAATAAAATGGCTGCTCCAGGTAAGGAGGCAACAAGTGACTGAAGTTTGTTGCAACTTTTCCCACTTTTCTAACAAATTTCACCGCGGAGAACAACGACAGCAAGACCCGAGTCCTTCGCAGAGTCTCTGAAGAAGTGACTTTCATCTGCTGATGTTCTGCAGAGATCGGTCGCCAATCTGAAAGATTTTTGCTTTTATCGTGCGTTTGCTCCTCATTCTCTGTTGTGTCTCCTCTTCCACCTGTCCTTTTGTCAATATTACTTTATTTTCTTTGTCTTTTGCTTCTCAAGTAGAAAAAAAAAGTATTTTTGTGTCATTTTGACCTTATACATCTATATGAAGCGTTTTGTGTGCAGTTTAACACCATAAAGACATATATACCATATTTTCCGGCATATAAGTCGCAGTTTTTAGCATAGATTTGTCAGTCCTGTGACTTGTATACGTTTTTTCTTTCCATATTCATAACGCAATTTTTGATTGACACTTTAAATTTCTAAGAAGTGCAACAGCGAGCCCTCCTGTGTTCTCTCGCTTCACTCAGCTGGTGCACGCGGAGGAACGATGCAGAGCTAGCGGCTCTGGCTGCAATGCATGGATGGATGGAAGGATGGATGGAAGGATGGATGGTACCGCGTCACTCAGGCAAAATAAAGCTGTTTTGATCAATAAAGTGCATTTATTAAGGAAAAGTTAAACTGAGACACACTTTTGCTATAATGTTGAGCAAACAAATAACTTTGTGTTAATCTTGTTAAATTTCGAAGAACTACAACAGCGAGTCCTCCCGTGCGCACTCGCTTCACTCGGTTGGTGCAGGTGGAGGAACGCTGAAGAGCTGGCAGCTCCGCTGCGATGGATGGATGGAAGGATGGATGGCGCCGCACCACCAGGTGAAACGAAGCTGTTTTGACCATTAAATAAATGCGACTTATATATGTTTTTTCCTCTTGATGATGCTTTTTGACTGATGCGACTTAAACTCCAGAGCGACTTATACACCAGAAAATATGGTAATGATTAAATAAGGACCCACAAACACAAAATGTTCCTGAAGTGCTGTCTAAATTTTTTGTCACTGATGCAGACAGTCCACCTGTTTTTCCTCTTTCTTGGTATGTTTAAATGCAAGCAGAAACAGTCTTGTTATGTTCCTAAAATCATCATTAGCAAGAGATTTATTTTAAATCGTAGTAAAATTATTATTGTAACTACTGCCTGGTGCTCATTTCTAACTAGGAATGATTAAATACATATTTTATCTTTTCTAACACAGCATATAAGACAATTACTGATTGGTAGGTTTGATAATTATGATGTTTTCGATGTTAAATGATGTGTTCAAACATGCCTCATCTGAATTATCTGCTACATAAATTTTGCTTAGATCAGTGGAACAGTGTGTTACCGTGACAGAACGTGTTTGTTTTGATTTTACGTGCCTTTATCGTATTAAAATACCAAAAAAATTAAAGCAATTTAGAGTAAAATGGCAGCTCATTATTCTGGCTCTGAATGTTCACTGATCACTGAAGCTAAACAAACAAAAAAAAAACTTGATGAATAAACATAAAAAAAATTTGAAAAACTTCCACTAGCTCATTATAAATCTGTGTTTTGTTAACCAGTATCAAGTTTAAATTATTTAAAATGTTCAAACATTTTTCTCCATTTGTAAAGGTTTTTCTTTTGTGTTGGTTTTTGAATAATAGGATGAGT